GGGGCGCAGGGACCCGGCGCGCTCCTCCCCGGCCCCGCCTCGCTCGCCGCCTGCTCCTCAGTTTCTTCCCTTTCTTCCCCCTCCACCACCTCCTTCCCCTCCTCGCCTCTTTCCAAACCCCGCCCCAAGCAAGCTAATAAATATATCAAGGCCGGGCGCGCCCTCTCCAACGTGCTGTTGGTCCCTGGGAGGACAGCCGCGGGTGCCTGGCCCCGAGGCCAGGGGACCCAGCGAGGTGTGAGCAGCGGGTAATTACAGCCTCTGTTCGGGGAGCTTTTTCCGCGTGTGGGGAACCGAGCTAGGAAAGCTTTCCAGACATTTAATCCTCTTACCATTTTAACCGATGATGTAACTGAGCCCTAGGGAGGTTTAGTGACTTGGGCAAGGTCACACAACAGGTAAGCAACTGGCCTGGGGTTAGAATAGAGGCTCCAGAGGACTGGAGAGTTCTCTCTCCTTCTTAAAAAGCTTGCTCCAGGCGTGCGCCACCCCTCGGCTCGCGCACTCGTGGCCCAGCCTCCTTCCTCCCGGACAGTCTCGTCTGGACAAGCTCTGCTCTCCCCGCGAGGCCGGCGCCCTGTGGGCGCTGCTGCACTCGGTGGCCGCAGCGAGGCAGGGGTCCAGGAAGCGGTTGCCGCACTTGTGTGTCCGCGTCTTGGTTTAGAGACAGAGGAGTCAGTCTGATCAGATGCCACGCTAGCCTCTTGGCCTGGCGCTGTAAATCCTTTCGCCGCCGCTTCCCGCAGCCGCCGCTTGGGGGCGGGGGGCGGGGGAGGCTAGGCTCGAGTTGTGGGGACCCTGTGCGGGTCTGGTTTCCCGCCATTTCCTCAGCCCCTATCTCCCTGCCTGCCTGGCATGTAGTAGGCACTCAATAAACATTTGCTAAATAAGTGAATGAATATTCTTTGAGTGCCTGCTTTGTGCCCACTTGGTGCTGGGAGGGGGGCCCAAAACTGAAAGGCACCAGACCTGGGGTCCCGTCATGTTTATCCCTTCATCATTCAGCTCAATATGGCACATGGTCTGTTTCTAATCATCTGTGGAAAACGTGATAAGTATTTGCAAGCCTTTAAAACAACTTGTAACAACTTGCAATGAGGCAGGGCATGTGGAGATAGCAGGACACCAAAAAACTGTGTGTGTGGCGATGTGGGGAGGAGGCTGACCTCAGGGCATTAGAAGAAAGGCACAGAGGACACTTGAGTGCTCCTGATGGCTGCCAGCAGCTTGGGAAGGTCTGAGACCAAAGGAGGTGTTGCCACCAACACTGACAGGCCTCTTTTGAGCAGTTTGCAAAAACCAAGGCAGAAATACCACATGGGGCAGTGGTGTAGGCCAACAGTGTTCGACACAGGCACCTTCTCAGCACAGCTCACATGTCAGAGATGAGGCTGCTCACAGGGAGCAGCGGATGTGGAGCTTGGCATTGAGGCTAAAAGCAGAGCCAGAGCACCAGCAGCTGACTCCTGGCACTGCCATTTATTAGCTCTGGGACCTTTAGCAAGTTACTTCACCTCTCCATGCCACAGTTTCATCTGTAAAATCAGGTAATAATGGTGTACACCCCAAAGGATTTTAGAGAATTATGTGGGTTAATTTTTATAAAGCCCTTAGAAGAGTGTCTGGCACATAGTCAGCTCTATATAAATGTTAAATAAGCATGGAGAGTAGGTCTATTACCAACATCATTTTTTTATATGAGGACAGTTGTATAAGTGCAGCAATATCTAGTCAATAAGAGGGATTTTTGTGTTCTTGTAAAGAGAACTCCTAGCTTCAGTGTGAACAAATAAAATAAACCTTCCATCTATACAGTATCAAAAGACAATGATCATGTTTGATTCTCATTAGAAATGTATAAAATAAACATTATCCCTATTTCATAGAAGACAAAACTGAATCCTGGTAGCGACTCAAACGTATGGGTCCAAAACAGAACACTTCATCTCCAACCCTGCCCCCTAACTGCTTCTCAGTCATCCCCATCTCAACAAATGCCACTGCCAGCCCACCAACTAACCAAAACCTTGGAGACACTCAGGGATTCTCCCTGTCGTAACTCGATAGCCAAGCACCAACAGATCCTGTCTGCTCTGCTTTTAGAGTGTGTCCAGAGTCCATGGTGGGGATTCTGAGTCACCATCATCACTTTTGGGACCACAGCATTCGCCTTTTCACTGGTCTACCTGCTCCTATTCGTTCCCTGTAGCCCATGTTCTCCACACAGCACTCAATGATCCTTTAAAAGATAGTTCAGCGGTTCACCAGCACTACCTGACATTACATTATATACCTATTTACTTACCATCTATTTGCCTCAATAGATTACAAACTCACTGACATCAAAGTTTGTGTGTCTTGTTCACTTCTGAATCCCCAGTGCTTAAAACTGTATCCAGCACATGCTGGATGCTCAATCTGCATGTGTTCTTCTAATAACCATGCATTACTATGAGAATTGTATGAGTTAATATTTATAAATTCCTTAAAACTCTGCCAAGTGCCATGTACAAGAAAAGTTTAGGCCCTGGAAGAACAAGGCTGAGTATGACAGGGCCTCTGACCTCAGGTTGCTTATGCCTGGTGGCCTGTTGCTTGGGGACATGAATTGACAATGGCAATACAGAGTGACAAATGCCATGGTGGAGGGCCTGCAGGGGATGATTTGGGGGCAGAGGAAGGCTTTGAAACCAGAATCGGGAGCCTTTAAAGACTTGCAGAGAGGAGTGAGCTGGACCCAGCTTTTGAAAGGCTTGCTGAAGTTAGCTAGAAGAAAGAGGAGAGAGCCCGGCCGGGCATGGCTCAGCAGTTGAGCGTGGACCTAGGATCCAGGCGATCGGGGTTCGATTCCCGGTCAGGGCACATGCCCAGGTTTCGGGCTTGATCAAAGTCATTGATGTTTCTGTCTCTCTCTCTCCCTCTCCTTTCCTCTCTCTGAAATCAATAAAGATATATTTTTTAAAAAAAAGAAAGAGGGGAGAATATTCTAGAGAGAGGGAAGATAGAAACAGGCTAACCCAAGGCAGAGGGGTGTAGGAGAGGAGGCCAAGACGTGATGGGGAATCCCTGAAAGACTTAAAGCAGGCAGTGAACAATGAAAACCATGACTGAGGCTGCATTATGGAGGGTGGATTGCAAGGGCGCACCCAGCCCAGCTAAATAAAGGAGGCCACTGCAGTAACCTAGGAGCAAAGGAAGGAGAACTGAACCGAGGCAGCAGGCGCGGGAATGACGATGCGAGGCCAGGTACTTGAGATAACACAGGGCACTTGGTGCTAGAACAAGGAGGTAGAATCTCCCTGGCCTCCTAGTTCATTGGACGTGCTCGTTTCCCCTCCATCCAACCTCTTCTGTTTGCATTTGGGTGAAGTCTTTAGGCCTGTTTTAATGTCACTGAAGATAATTTTCATGTGATTCCAAAAAGAACGTTCTAAACCTTCTTTTAGAAACAAAAATAGAAAGGATTCATTTCTTATTCATAGCTTTAGGTTGATAGTAGAATGGAATTACTTCTCATAATAATTTAGTTTAATGATAATTTAAAATATTTTTTATTGTGTTACAGAAATTTCAGAAAATAATATGACTTCTACTTTCATCTCTCTATCCTTATATAGGCACTGTAAATAATTTGGCTTATTTGCAGTCACAATTTTGGAAATATTTTAATGAAAAATAAAAGGGAAAGTCTTTTTATTTAGTTAGATTTTGTTTATTGGTCTTTTTAATACAGGGTAGAAACAGGCTTTAGTTATTTTTAGCTGAGTATCTATAAATACCCAGTATCCTTATAAATCTTAATATTTGTGGAATGAAATATTCTTGCTCTTTGTAGAAATACAGTTTTGCCAAGTTGAAAACCGTGAATTGTTATGACTGCTAAAGATCCTAGAGCAGCTCTACTAAACAGTTCTAATATGCATAGTGTTGAAATTTATTCCCAAACTGGTTTTCATTAGCAGAGTTTTAAAAAGTACCCATTCATCATTATACTTTCAACACTTCGGGTTT